TCCAGACCCAAAACGTCAGCTTTCCTGCTCCTCTGATGCTGCTTGGCCTGCTGTGTTCATCCAGTTCTACACCTTGTTATCTCTTTTTATATTACTCCTGTCACGATGCATAAAGAAAAGATCCTTTCCTCTGTATATGATCTTTTCCTCCTTCTAGCTGTAGCTCCTGAATCATTATTCAAACTTGAACAGGTTTCCTTGAACTCCATTTGCTGTTAAATGCCTGTGGATCAGCTAATGCTCCCTAAATGGACTCCTCCCAAATCTTCAGCCTAGAGCCTGGGAATCTGAAGCCTATTCCTTCCAAATCTTGAAACCAGGCCATAATAACTTTACTAGAAAGAAGATAATTTCACTCTGTTTACTAAAAATGTTTTCATTTCTGTTTTGTAGCATTCTGATTCCAATTCCAACTTAAAGAAAAGATTTAACTCCATGGCACCTCAGAAAGAGTCAGCAGCCAATGTAGAACCAGATCCTAACAGCAATGTGCCACCAATTTCGTATTCTGCTCCTGGTCTCCCTCCATCTGCTCAACCACAATCTCATACTGGCACCAGCAAGATAGACCAGTATGCCAGGATCCTTTTCCCGTTATCATTTGGAGCTTTCAATCTGGTGTATTGGATTGTATACCTTTCAAAAGACACTATGGAAATGGGAAGTAATATATAACTTTCCATGTCATATGTTACATGTGTGTGCAATCAAACAATATTGCATTATCATGTATACAAAAATAATGGATATATCGATTTTCTTACAAAATAGATGCACAGTGCACAGTTAAATGAAAACATAATTTCTTGGGGGCAAAATATGTTACAGTGTTGAAATACTGTTTTACATATCATTTCTTTATAATACATAACAATTGAAAATATCCACTGAAGAAAGACAGGAATAAAACAGAATTACAACAGTTTAATTTGATGTAAACTGGACAATTTCTCATTTGAAGAACTGAATTTAGTGGACAGATTCTGCTTTTCATATTTTGCACTCCTGTCCTATCAAATATTTTATGACTTTACCATATTATTCAATATATTATCAAGGCTGGTTTTGATTTGACTCTTGTAAACCGGGAAATACTGTGGGTTGTGTGTTGGAATCTTGTAACATATTGTTAACTTTCTTTAGTTCAGTCCTGAGAATATTTTGGAGAAGATTTATTTTGTGTGCTCATTGTGGTTTGAAGTAAAATACTGCAATATATAATAACATTTTATTTTTATTGAATGATTTATTTGTTCACACCCTTAATTTGATAAAAAAAGAATTGTGTAAAATATATTTTTTTAGAAAACAGGGATCAAAATATTACATTGCAGAAATGTCACCTCAAAAATCCAACCTTGAAGAAGGAATGACAGTTAAATGAGAGGCAAGTCTTCAACATTAGGATTTATTTATGAAAAACAGGTGTAGATGAAGCACACTCAATGTTTAGATATATCTAATGTTTTTAAAAAGTATCATTGCTTAAGTAATGAATATTGACAACATCATTGAGATGACTTGAAGGCCACAGTGAACTTGACAGTTTATTGGAATTTCTTGTAATTTACTGGATTCATTACCAACTGTTTTTTCAGTTTTTTTAATGCAGTGAATGTCATAATTTTTCCTTGACTCATAGCTGCAGTACTACCTTTTTTTGTGAGATAAACAGATCCAAACCAGTAAATGATCAGTAACGTAGACTGTTACTTTAGATTAATTCTTGGAATTTTGTTCAAATATCTTCAGGATTTTATTTTCTTGCACTTGTACCATTGATTATTCATGACACTCCAGAAATCGAAAAAGATGGAGTCACCCTATATCGATTGTGACTGAATCGTCAAGAAATGAAGTCCGTTAGAATTAGTTTTCTTTTCACATTATTTTCTTTATGAATTACTTGTACAGTAATATATTTTTCTTTTCAGTTGACACAAATTAGAAAGTAGTGAATTGCCAGCTTATTTTATTTCTTGTCATTTTGCGCTTCTGCTGAAGAACAAGTTCACTCTTGATGTTATGTAAAGATCAGTTTAAGTGTCTTCCTCAGTGATTTTCGACTCTAGACTTGATATTCAATGGGAGTAGTGGTGAGCCCCAATAAACATACTGTCTTCCCTGAATCGTTACAGAAGAATAGAAATGTCTGCCATTAGGGCTTTGAAATATTAGATTCTTGAGCGTTATTATCAGTTATTATTTGCATGGAATATAAGGAAGTTTCAGTGCAAGAATACAAATCCAATCGAGTGAACTGGAACTTAATTAACTTCACAGCTTTAAATTATGAAAATAAGTATGCAACAATGATCCAGGAATCTATTACAAATTCACCACCTATTGGAAACAATCTTTTACAATTCATTTTGAACATTTTCATAACCATGAAACCCTCTATCAGATCTCCCCTATGTTTCAGTAGAAAAGGGTCTGATTTTAAGCCACCTTTATGACTGTAGCCTTTTATTTCTGTATTATTCTAGTGAATTTTCACTGTTTTCTTTCTATATATCCAGTAAACATCTTACAATAGAGTTCTGAGAACTAGAACTGTATTCCAACTTTGGGCTGACCAAGGTCGTGTATAAACTTAGCACCATATATGTGCAATATTATGCATTCATTTCTGTAAGGATTAAGTGTTTTTAAAATAAGCATAAAGTTCAGATAACACTCTCCAATGGAGTTAATACATTGTCAGTGAGGGAGAACTGTACTGACATGCTAACAATTAAAATTACAAGATTCTCAAAGAACCTTAGGTTAAAGATTATACAAATAACAATTTACTTCTTTCAGACTATTGGGGCAGCACCTTCTGACCAATTCCACCTGATCCCTTTCTAAGGGGATAACTGTCTGTACTGCTATGTTTATATCAAACTATTCTATAGCTCTGTTGTGAAAAGTTTAATACAGTCTCATTTTCTCTTCATGTAAGGATATATTTTTATTCAACAAAATGAAAATACAACTCACTATGTTCAATTAATTTTGAAAACTATTTGCTACTTTTTCTAATTTAATAAACTGATGTCTTCAAGATAATTGAGATTTTCTCTACAATATGTTGTAGTGGCAAAATGCCTTTTATTTGGTAGATGCAGTAATAAAGTCACTGGATTTCATTGATTAATAAAAAGTAAAAGTAAGTCAAGTAAATACCCCAAAGCAACAAAACCAATATGATGAAATAACAACCAAAAGAACTGCGGATGCTGTAAATCAGGAACAAAAACAAAGTTGCTGGAAAAGCTCAGCAGGTCTGGCAGCATCTGTGAAGGAGAAAACAGAGTTAACGTTTCGGGTCCGGTGACCCTTCCTCAGAACTGAGCTTTTCCAGCAATGATGAAATAACAAACTGCTTTATTCCTTTCGTAATATGTGATATGTGGTTCTATGAGAAATTATGGATTCTACAGGCAATATCATTCTGCTATTAAATTGGGATGTAACATGGGCCAACTACTTGTGTAAATAATGCAAGACTATTTTTTCCTATATATTAAGTTATTTCATTGATTTCCTGCCATGTGCATATTTCTAGTATTTATTTTGGTTTATTCAATTAACTAAACGTTGAAAGGAAAAATAAAAAAAAAGTGTTTGAGGCTGTATATAAGACAAATTAACACTGGAAAATATTTCAGATGTGCCAAATTGATAATAGGACATTTTTTTCAAAAACAGTTTTACTTTAAATGATGACTATTTTATAATCTAAATTTCCAAAAGCCTAAGCTTTGAATTTAAATTTTAATTCTGAAGAGAAATATGCCTCTAAGAAAAGTGTATTGACAGAAGAGTAGTCACAGAGCCTAGTCAAGAAATAGGCCAATGCATAAACAAGCAAATGTAGATGAATGTAGGGAATTAGATGAAAAACATGGAGATTCAGAAGTTGAAACAGAAAATATACTGATGCTATTTGCTAGTTAGTGAGTTGTAATGTTTGAGTTGATATATCAGAAAAGTAACTCTTCCCAGACTATTTTACAAGATGAATTTTAACAGAATTAACTGAACATAAACAAATTGACAGATCGATATGAACAAGACCTCTATTCCACGACCAAATAAATATTTTTTATTTTTGTATTTGCATGCGCCCAGTCTTTCCTTTCATGTAACATCAAATGGAAATTACATTGAGTACTGTTGGCATGTTTTAATGCATCTTGTCCCTTTTTCTTTTTTTGAGATCACTCTACTTTTGAGGTTTGTTTTGCAAATGAAAGATGCTATATATTTTAAAAAAGCTAGTTTTCTAGATTAAATGTATATTTGTTTTTTTTTTCTTGGTGACATGTATATCGTTGCATAAGAAATTGTCTTTTCACAAGTGTTTATTTTTATGTCTTCTTAACACTGAAAAAATATTCTGTAAACAATATGCATAAGAAAAGGATGTTAACATGTCAGAGTAGTACGTATTTGATGAAAGTTGATGATTGATTCAAGCTGGTAGCATTTAATTCTCAATGTTCATTCCCTGCAGTGTACATTATATGGCAGGCAAAAGCTGATAACTCATTCATATTAAGTTACCACATGTAAAATTGTCAGTCTTTGCATATATGTGAGGAAAACATATAAGTTTAGTCACATATGAACAGAATTCTTAAGTGTTAGATAAAAGCTGATATTTATCTTAATATGCATCTCTGCGATTTGCTGCTTGCTACAGTTATACAGGCAGCAAAACATGGGGATTCAATACTTAAAAACAGGAGAAGGTAGATAGATGATAGAATAACTCATTTGTTTAATATTTTGGATAAGTACAATAGCTGTATAAAACATGCCTTTCTCGCCTACACATTGAATATAGCAGCAAGCATGTTTCTACTTAGAAAGCAAAAATATTCATTCTCTCGTTAAGGCTTATGGTTCTATGGCACAAAACATAGAAAACTAGCACACGGGTGCACAGCAGGAAATCAGGAAGGCTAATAGAATGTTGGCCCTTATTTCAAGGAGATGGAGTATAAGAATAGGGAAGTATTGCTGCAACTGGACAATGTGCTATCAGTTGGGACTCATTGAAATTTGGAAGAATGAAATGTGATCTCATTGAGACATATAAGATTCTTAAGGGCCTTGACAGGGTAAATGATGAGAGGATGTTTTCCCTCATGGGAGAGTCTAGGATCAGAGGTATAGTCTCAGAATAGAGGGGTGCCAAGTTAAGACTGAAATGAGGAGGAATATCTTCTATTAGAGTGTTTAAATCTTTGGAACTCCTTGCCACAGAGACATGTAGAGGCAGAGTCTTTGTGTATGTTGAAGGCTGAGATAGGTACATTCTTCATCAGTAGGGGAATTAAGGATAACGGGGAAAGGGAAGTAAAGCAGATGTGAGGAGTGTCAGATCAGCCATGAGATTATTGAAATGGTGGAGCAGGAATTTTCAGACTGTTGAGTTTACTCTTTAATTTGAGGCATTTTAATTGAAAGTGGAATAAGTCAACCCATTCCTTCGCCAACTCACTCCACCCCACCCTCAACATTGCAGAGAAGCACAATCCAAACACCTGGTATTTAATTACAGCAAACTATTCATTCAAGATAGATGTAAAGAAAATGGCAGAGACTGGCTGTTGATAGGTGAGATTGAGCTGCCTTTGAACTACTTAGTAAGTCTAGAGGAGTGTGGGTGACCAGAAAATGTAAACTTAGTTTTGTTATTTATGATACATTTTAAAGGATTTCAGCTCATCTAAAATGGTCTCTTATCATCAGAGCATTATAACATGTAAACCAGTTAATGATTTTTTGTTATTTCTATTTTATTTGAACAGTGAGAGCTAATGTCATCACTGGGAAGAACATGACAGAACTGTTGAATTTGCTGATACACGGGAACTGAATTACCATGCACATATCCAAAGTACTCTGCTTAAGATGCCATCAACTAATGTTAGTTTAGTTCTGTTCCACAGTTAGAAATAATTAAACCTCAATAGCTGGATTGTGTCATTAGAAGTTACGAATAGAATGATTAGGATTAAAATTTATAGCAGAATTAAAAACTGAGCTGTGTTACAATTCAAACATTGGTTAAAGAATTTTTGTGGAACTACTTCCTTTTGACACAATTGCTGACACTCCATAATGTTTGGTGTAGTGATTGTAACAAGGTCAGCCAGGTGGACCTCATAGAATATGAGTTCCCTTATTGGGTCGATTAATCGAGTCCAATCAGGGAGCCCTGGCTGAC